TACTCCACTGACATATTCTCAAATTGCGGAGAAGACAAAGAGTGATGAAGAAGATGGAAACTTTGAATTCTATTTTGTTCTTTTCACAGTGGGCACTCTTCTTTGTCCTACGGGAAGTACAAGTGTGAGTGACAAGGTACTAAAAGTAATGGCCTACACAAAAAATAACTGGAAAAAATTTGACTGGGCTTCCTTTGTGCTTGACGAGCTCAGTGAGGAAATTAAATGGTACAATAGGAGCAGTAAGGAAGGACAGACCAAGAGTGCCAGAGTTGTTGGAGGGTGCATCTACTTTTTATTGATACTTGCATATTTCCTTACAAAATATGCCTTGTTGGATATGGTTTGACCATTAAACTGTTGATGTATTATGTAATTTGATTTTTGAGTCATGTTTTTTTGTTTCTCTGTAGTTGTACTTCCTGCAAAGGTTCCCTTTGCAGGGAGGTGAACCAAAAGACAAAGACACCGTCAGACATTAGGATGATAAGGCTGTGAAGAGGAGAATTGACGCGGAAAAGGAGAGTTGACATGGCATTTTCTACAGTCCACCCACTGCTGAAGTGAATGAGTCAACACAACCGGGGAGCAGTAGAAGTTTCCATCATCCAGTGAGTAATACCAATGTGGTAATGTCTGTTGGTCAAACTTAATATCTGTTTGATGACATACATTTACAATGTGCAGGACATTAAGGAGTTTTGAGTCAATTTCAACAACACATTGAACAATGAGATGACCAAGATTCAAAACTTTGTTTGTGATGAATTAGTTAAGCTGGAAAACAAAATTCTTAACCAAGGAGGCAATGAAGAAGAAGGAAAAGAACAGCACACTGAGGAGGATGAAAATGAGCGGCCACAACATAATGAAGTTATGACTGTAGAGGGCGGAGAAACACATGAAAGTGGTGACAAATCGCATGATGATGAACAACAAGAAGAAGAAGAAGAGGAAGATGAAGACGAGAATGACAATGTGAGAGAAGATGAAGCTGCAAAAAAGGATATTGAAGATGAACAGGCAGCTCAAATTGAAGAAGGACACAAAGAAGGGAAAATGGTGGGCAAAGCAGTGCAGCTACCCACAAGGAGGTCAAGTAGACGTAAAGTCCCAACAGTTAAATCTCCTTACATGTCTACTTATGGTAGAAAGATGAAAATGAGTGACAGGGATGCATTTTATACTGTGTGTACTAAGTGGTGTCAACCAGATGAGGCTCAAGAGTAAGTATAGTCAGTTATTATGAAAAAGACAGCCTGTGAATAATACTACTATGCAACACTGACTACTTATTTTCACTTTCATATTTGTTATAGGGTCATGGTAGATATGTTTGGGCATTTGGCAACATGATCAGACCTACAAGCACTGGGTCCTAGAAGGTAGATAAGCAACAGGGTACGTGCACCTATTCAATTTACATTAAAGTGGCCATATATGGAATGTCCCAGAATTTTAATTTAATTTTCCTGCTCCTTTATTCTCCAGATCATGACTCTGATTGCCCACACCTTGAACGCTGACCAACAGGAGAGTGCCTCTGCGGTTAAAAGACACATATTTGATGCAGATTTCACGGTTAGTGCTATCCCCTGTTAATGGATCAATGCTTTAAATTGTGCAATCAAGTTATCGATACAGTTTTTTCACTGACAATTTGCATTGCTGTGCAATTTGCTGTTGTGATAGGCAAGGATGGTGCAGCAACACACAGCATGGCAAGTGGACAAACATCTAAAAGAACTACTCCCCCAACACCTAGGATACAATTTGGCTGAATATGAATACATATCTGCACCTGTTGTGTTTACACTGCATTGGTTTTGCTTTGTGTTTGAACCGAGCACACTAAAGTTTTATGTGCTGGACTCTCTGCGTGGTGGTGAGGATACAATGAAGCACCAAAAGAAGAAGAATAAGTCTGATCCAGCATTGAAGGGGCAGCAAATGATGGCGCAAACTTCTGTAAGTAGTGTAATTATTTTGCTACTTTTATGGACAACCATAGTATCCCCTGTGTGATAATCATTTGTAATTGTGTTGAGGGCACACTTCATTGAAATACTAAGGAGAGTGAAGCCTGAGCTGGAGGCTTTGGCCAACCCAGATTCAAACAATGACATCTTGTATCCCACGGTTCATGTTCAAGACAATATGTGAGTCTTTTGTTCACTAAAAGTTATTTGTCATAAATTATAATCGACTTAGATAAGCCAACATAGTGATGTGTTCATTTTTTCAGTGATGATTGTGGGATTCATGTCATCACATATCTAAGAGAGTGGCCCGACCCACAAGAGAAGGATGGAGTTCTATTCACCATGCCTTATTATATAGTGGTAGGTGTTGAATTATATGTTAATAACATCATGCATTTGTGTCAACTAACTGAGAACAGTTATTGTTGTCCCATAGAATCAATACACATCTATATGGTGTGAGCTGTTGTGGTGGCTCGTGACTCATAAAAGAAACATCAAGTCAGATGCTGTTGCCAAACACCTTGACTAGATTAACAGACAACGCAAGAGAAAGCGATGACTGATCAAATTCCTACCTTGTAGTTTTTGCTGATAAGCATTGTAATTGTTGTTGTGAACACTTTATGCGGACTTAAATGTTGTGCATACAAAAGATGTTAATAAAGACTGTTTTCATGGATTCATATTATCACTACTTGTTTACTTTCATTAGATGTATGGTTGACAACCGAAATTAGAGAATTTACAACAACAGAACAGGAATTAACACCAAATGTTCATCCATTTCCAACCGAACAACTTACATTAAGGATTAGACCTTTGCACGAATGATTAGACAATTTGCAAGACAGAAAAATAAGTTAACAACAACAATTAGACCATTCACAAGTGTCATTCATCAGCTGAACAACGTGTCCTCTTAAATATGCAAGTGCCCTCCTTCACCTGAATAAGGTGTCTATTTCCATGAGGAACTAGGGAATTTGCAACTCCAATACATATATTCACAACTGGAATCAGTCCATTTACATGTACCATCCTTGACCTAAACAGGGTGCTCATTTGCAAGGGGAACTAGCCAATTTGCAAAGGAAATACTTATATTCACACGTGGAATCAGTCCGTTCACATATAGACTGGTTCAGCTGAAGCATGTGTCCGTGAGGAAACAAGTGGGGGAGAGCGCATTTGCAAGGGGAACTAGCCAATTTGCAAAGGAAATACTTATATTCACACGTGGAATCAGTCCGTTCACATGTGGACTCGTTCAGCTGAAGCATGTGTCCGTGAGGGAACAAGTGGGGGAGAGCGCATTTGCAAGGGGAACTAGCCAATTTGCAAAGGAAATATTTATATTCACACGTGGAATCAGTCCGTTCACATATGGACTGGTTCAGCTGAAGCATGTATCCGTGAGAGAACAAGTGGGGGAGAGCGCATTTGCAAGGGGAACTAGCCAATTTGCAAAGGAAATACTTATATTCACACGTGGAATCAGTCCATTCACATTTGCAAGGGGGACTAGCTAATTTGCATGACACATACTTGGCTTCACATGTGGACTGATTCACCTGATGCATGTGTCTGACTTAAGTATGGTACAGCCCATTTATAAGTGGATTAGACAATTTGCACCATACATGCATATTTTCACAACTATAAATAGTCCATTTGCATGTGACCTACTCGTACTGAAGGAGGTGTCCGTGGATGAACAGGTGTGCAAAGGCCCATTTGCGAATGAGATTAGGTAATTTGCAACATAGGTACATATAGTTACAACTAAAAGTAGTCCATTTGCATGTGGACTGATTCGCCTGGAGAAGGTGTCCAAGTGTGGTTTCGTATACCATTTGCAAGTGACATTAGACAATTGGCAATACACATACGTATATTCACAACTGCAATCAGTCCATTTACATGTGACGACCCTTACCTGAAGAAGCTATCTGTTAGTGGACAGGTAGGGGAGAGCCCGTTTGCAAGTGACATTACACAATTCACATCACACCTACATATATTTACAACTAAAAATAGTCCATTTGCATGTGGACTGATTCACCTGGAGAAGGTGTCCGTGTGGTTTCGTATACCATTTGCAAGTGACATTAGACAATTGGCAACATACATATATATATTCACAACTGTAATCAGTCCATTTACATATGACGACCTTCACCTGAAGAAGCTGTCCGTCAGTGGACAAGCAGGGGAGAGCCCGTTTGCAAGTGACATTACACAATTTGCAACATACATATATATATATTTACAACTCAAAATAGTCCTTTCGCATGTGGACAGATTACAGCCTAACATAACCTGGGACAGCTATAGTCACCTACTGTCATGAAATTTTTCAACTATTGACAGCACTATACAAAATATAATCGAACCCACCACCAAAAGATCAAAATGGGTTGTCATAGCTACTTCCCCAACAACTCAACAACTACATAGTGGGGTTCATATATGTACAAAAGTAGCTGTGTATCGAGCCAAAAAAATAAAAGACCATCTTCAGCAACAAAGTCACCTAGGGTTCAGGTTACTGCAAATCTTTCTAGTGTGACCAGCTTCACCACATCCTGAGCAATGATACAGTTTCTTCTGCTGGAATTGTGATTCAATCCTCCTCACTTTAGGTCTTCTAGCACGACGAGTTGTCAATGGTGGTTGTAGGAAGATGGTGGACGAGTAATCTTCATATCGAAAGGAATCTAGCCTAGGGATGTCATGGGTCTCAACTGGAATCATGAGTCTGCCATAAATTTTCTTTTAGGCTGAGAGTAAAAAGCAATCCTCGACATATGCATATATATTACCATATACCTTCTTGATTGTAGCACATGCATCTAGGCAAGGTAGTCTTGACATTTGCCAACCTTTGTAGGTGCATTCACGTAACACAAGATTTACCCGTACATCTAGGTTTCCCTATCTGACCCTGAAATTGTTCATTCTATAATTTTGCACATCCATTCTTTTTGATCTAGCCACATGATCCATCAACTTTTCCTATATATTAGGTCCCACACCACTGGTCCAATTCCTCGTGGCTTCTTTGCTGTGGTACATCTTGTTTGCTAATTTTTCCCTGTGCTCATGTATCAAGACAGCTATGTTGTGCTTCCTCTCACCAACAAGCCAAGCATTAAAGGATTCAGCTAGATTTGTTGTGATATTGTCCCATCTCTTGTAAGGAAATTTTCTTTGTCCCCAACGCTCAATGTCTCCATTTGTTTGAAGCCATTGTCCTAATTCTGGACAAAATGCCATTAGCTTTTCCATACTGCGATCAAAGTCTCTGTCAAGTCTTGCGTATGCAATAGAATCAAGTAATTTTAGTGCAACTTCCTTTGTCTGTCCGCTGGTCCTCCTCTTTCCCCTGGTTATCTTCAAAAACTCAGCACTGTAATTCTCCTTCACATGACGGTAGCAAAAAGCATGTCGATCTCCTCCAAACACAACTTGCACTGCACCTTTTATTGAGTTGTGTCTATCTGATACTATTGTCACTTCTAATGATCCCGTAATATCCTTTATGTTACCAAGAAACCATGCCCAGTCATCAAGCGTCTCACCTCCAACAATCACATATGCAAGTGGGAATAATTCATTATCCGCGTCATATGCTTGTGCTCCCAATAACGTTCCTTTGTACGGACCATTCAAGTGGCATCCATCCACATATAATATAGGTCTACCACCTTTCAAAAACCCTTCTACACAGTAACCGTATGCAATAAATACAGCTTGAAATCTATTATCTGATGATGCAACCACTTTGCTACCATTTCTGGATCACTTTCCTTTAGCCTTTCACATATCCAAGGGATTAGCATATAGACTCCTGCGGACAACCATAAATTTTCCAATGCTTTCTCTTTCGCCCTATATGCTTGTTGGTAGTTGAGGCTCAATCCATACTCTCTTTCCAAATCCCGTCTAATGTCATTTGGAGCTTTGTGCATGCAAGAAATCAACTCATCTATTATGACTATTGAAGCAAGTTTGCACCTCTTTCTCTGAGGGACAACTAAGTTGTCTTGTGCATAATGCAAGTGTTCACAGTTAAATCTTCTCACAACTAGGAATCCATTCTTCTCGCCTACACCATATGCTGAAATTTCCCAGGGACAACCATCTACACAGCACTTCACAATCATCTTATGCCTATCATTCTTTACATACCAGTAACTAAACTTGTGTGCAAGGCTATACTTATATAATGCCTCTCTAAAATGTTCAGCACTAACAAAGGTTTGCCCTCTTGACATCAACAAATCTGCCCACTTTGATGAATTCATCACTGCTATTGGGGTTGGCAACATTTCCATACCTACACTTTCTATCAGTGTTGGCACATCTTGTACGGGAGATATGTTTATGTTGTCTGTGTCTAGATCCAATTCAATTGGAGATACTGAGATTCCACAAGGGCCAACCAAATCATCTAACCTGCATAAACAAATACAGCTATTGAGTATTACAGTTCAATTTATCAAAATTGAACATATTTCTTATCCTACACACAATCTTAATAAAACTAGTTGAAAACAACTTACTCTTGTACACTGTCCAGCTGTGACACTTGTGTGAAGTCTTTCTCATTCTCACAAACATAAACATGGCCACTACTATTGTTGTACTCAATTAATTGTCCAACACCAATATCATCAACAAGATCCAAGAATGTGTCCCTGTCAAAGCTAACTGTGTACTTCATTTTATATTCACAAGTCCCTGGCCACACATCATGAGCTACCATGCATTGTAGTTCTTCATATGTCATCCCTTCTCTAATCAATCTTCCAGTAATGATGCCCCCTTCATAAATAAATTTCCCTTCTAAGGTCTTTACAAAGTGCCCTTTAACATGAAAGATGCAAAATACTTGTTTCCCACTACTACTAGCCATTTATCCTCTGCTGCTGCACATCATTCAAGTATGACACAATGTACGTTTACATCAGCAATTTGACAATTGACAACAAGAATTAGTATTTTCACAACATTATATTGCTTTTTCTCGCACACAACTAGAATTACCAAATTTACCATCGTCCTATATATTTTCACCATTCCTCTGCGCATCTACCTGTCATATAACCGATTCCAGCCCACACACCCATTTCCCTTTCATTTTTGCCTACCTAAGTTCCTTCAGCAACGCATTATACTCAATATGCACCCACTTTTCAAAACATCACAAACACTGCATCTTTAACAACTTAAAATAGCATGAGTATGAATTTCTTAAACCATAAACACCGTTAGATTTGCAACTCGCTCCCAACCTACATGCCCATGCACTTAAATACTCATTTCTTCCTCATTCACCCATCACAACCCACCTGTGCTAACCAAATCACACCAACAAAACCAAAATTTTAACAACAAAATCTTACCTCCCACGCCAACCTGACGCTACTTCCATAGAAGACGCAACACTGTAGGGCACACTTACGATTTCTCTCTCTTGCACCAACTTTAGCTTGGAGTTCAAAAGATGGTGGAGGGACGGACCTCAAAAGTGAAGCTCCGCCACTGCGTTTTCTCAGCTCATGGTTGTCAGCTATCTCCCTTCCGCACCGGCACGCTGCATAGGAGAGGCAGGAAATAACGTCATCTCCCCCCTTCCCGTCTTTCTTCCGTCTTTTACACCCACTGATAATATGTCTCATTTTCGGAGGGAAATAAGTTTTTACTAGGGGCAGTGGCGTCATTTCATTTGTGGAATTAATATCAAATTGGCCCCTTGGTCCTACAGTGAGGTTTCAGAAAGTTTTGGGGGCTCTTTGAGATTAATTGTCTTCTGCGGTCCTACAGTGAAATTTTCCCTAAAAATAAAAGTATATTTTTAACTTATTTATTACTTTTAATTAATTTTAACTAATTATTTATTATTCACGAATTAATTATTTAAATTTTATAATAAGGATTAGAGGAAGTATTTGTCATATGAAATATATTTATTTTACACTTCTCTTTCCTTGTTCTCGGCCTCTAACAATATTGAGGCGTTTGGACGTGCATGCCATATCTAAAATATTGTGTTGAATAATTTATATATAATCTCGAATTTTTGGATAATTATTCTAAATATTCAAACTATATATTATTATTTAATATTTAAAAAAAATCATCTTTCATCACAATCTATAACTACGTTTTTCAACATTTAAATATCTTTTTAGTTAAGCAGTGAGAGCTCAAAAGCCTGTTTGAACCTCAAATAAATAATTATGCAGTTGATTTATTCCATTTGACTATATTTTTTGGAATCCCCATGATCACACACTCAAGCATAAGTTGCTGGGAATAGCTTTTGCAATTGAAAAATGTCGACGAGAATTTCTCCTATTATTCAAATTTTGTGATCTTTGTTTTTTTATAATATATTTTCACTATTAGTTTTATTTGATATATAACAATTTTATTGAATTTAAAAATTTTATAATATAATCAAAATTATAAACTGTATTAAAATAATTTTTCGTTGTATAAAGAAGTAGTCTTTTAACAAATATAATATTTGGCATAAAAATAAATTTACGTGTTTAAATAATTCTTATGTGAAGGAATGGTATTTTGGTCAAAATAAAAGCTTAAAGTCAAACTTAATGGTTAACTACCAGTTGGATGAATGAAAATGGAAACCCAAATGTATGAGGAAGGTTTATGTGACATATATTTTAATTTTAAGAGGGTTTATATACGTTTTCAAAATAGAGGGATAAAATTTACCACAACATAATTTATTTAATTAACCTTCAATATTGATAGCTTAAAATTGCAAAAAAAATCAATTTATTTGAATAATAGGAGAAATTAAATAAATAAATTGTAAATTACCAGTATTGAAGCTTAATTAAATAAATTGATAAAATAATGTGATAGAAAATAGTTTGAAAGAAAAATATTGATGATCTAAAACGTTTAAAATTAGCCACATGAGAGATAGGTGTGGGCAACGGGGCTTACTAACCTACTTAATTTGAACTTTTTTTTGGGATATGACACCTCCTTTATATGCTGAATTTTCTTGGGTCCAATTTGGCTCTCAAATAATCTCACATCAATCTGGAATAATTACAATTTTCTAAGCCCAAAATAAATGGAAATTTATGAATTTAATTTTTCATGAGGGTAATATTTTATATTAATTCACTAAAATCCTCAAATAATTATTTCAAATGATCATCCAAATATAATCATTTAAGGCATTTACATAATTTTTGAATCATGGAATTTGGCCGAGTGCAAAATAATTATCCAAAAATAGGCTTTTAAACTTAACGTATTTTCTTGAGGCATTTTAACATTTAGTGCATCCACTGGGTCTTAAAAATCACTTAGAAACCTTTTCCCTATTTTCCAAGAAATTGCCTAATATGTTTTTTTTTCCCGGGATCATTAGTGATCAGATACATATATATATATGTTGCATTAATACGGATTTCAACAAGAGTTTTGATGATATTTTTGTTTTATCAGTGACATTTATTTTAATTTTTTCCTTCATCACGCTTCTGAGCATTGCTCGAAAACTAGTGCGTTCCGTCTTCCTGTTACTGTCCTTGAGAACACAATGGAGGTAATAATCATTTTATTCTTTCGATAATATATACTCTTCTCTAATCTGTGATTTTTATGAATATCATTGTTTGCATGCATGCATGTCTCCTTTATATATTATATAAAGAATAACTGATTAGCAATAGGACCTAATTTATCTTTAATTGTAATTGTAAATATTGCTGCTTTTAATCATTTAAATCTTCTTTGAATGATTCACTTATTAACTGAATAACTGATTAACTGCATATTATAACTGTGCAGCTAGCTGTTGTAGATGGCCATGACAATACCACAAATAAGGAATTTACATGTTCCCATGTTTAACTATAAAAATAGTAGCATGAACAAACATGAAACCGATGCAATATATATATATATAATTAACTATTAAAGCTACCTTTCTCTGGCTCTCCCGCACTTGTAGCTCATCGTCGGTGTCTTCCTGATAGGCTTGGACGCAAATCAGATCCTAAATCTAGAATTAGGGCTCTGCAGCGTCAAGCAGCTTCCCTCTTTTCTTTCTCTTCTCCAGCAGCTTCTTCTGGCTTGCCTTCGCATCTCTCCTTCTCAATCTGTCCCCCTCTGTCTTTAATCTTTCTTAGCTTCTCCAGTAAATGTCATGTGAGAAGGAGAAGTGCTAAATTGGGGAAGGCAAGACATGTATAAGGTGGCTAGAAGACTAAGTTAACCTTCAATTATCTGTTTAATTCAAATTTTAACCTTTTATGGAATTTTCTTTATCGTTGGAAAATTACTACAAATTAATCCTCAGCACGAGTATCTTCTTTCTCATTTAGCTTCTTGAAACCATAAATTAATTTCCTTAAAATTTTCGAACTAAAAGTTAACCTGTAATTATTTTTCTTCAATTTCTCAAGAAAATAATTTTTCGATCGCAAAAATCTGCGTTAAAATTATTTATACTTCTTTTTGGGAAGTAAGCTCTTCTATAATATTATTCATTTCCTGAAATGATTATCTATAATATTTTTCTTAATTATTCAAGACCTTTATATAATTTTAATAATTATTTCTCCATTGATTTTCCTAAATTTATTATCCAAAAATGAGTGTTTAGTGACTAAATTATTTTCTTGAGGCCTTAAATAATTTTGCTAAGCCTCCTAAAAATTTTATTAATTCATAGCTTTAAAATTTGAGATGTTGTATTCTGTAGGTAAAGTAAATTAAAAAGCGGGAAAAGACAAATGAATGCCATTTTAAATTTCAAATTCTAAAATGGTGACATGAATTCGTAAAAATCCTAAATTGATGCTCATGCTCAAAGTATAATTTTGAAATGTTAGTGATTTTGCAATATTACCTTTTATTTTGTAAAAACAAAGCCACCATCACTGGCCATCCTACCATCGGAGCTCTGACGCTGATGGCTAGTCCCTGTAGATGGCAGCAAACAGCATAACGGAAGTTAGCAACCATTGAGCAAAATCATATAGTCCTCCTATTCTTAACATAAGACTTAATTATTAAGTTAATTTTGCTCCTAAATATAAGATCTATTTTTCATATTTATTAATTTTTTCTAAATTATCCCTATAGATCTCTCTCAACCATAATCAAGTAGAAGAGGAAGAGAGGATATTAAGAAAGATGATTATGATATTTTAAAAAAAAACGTGTCATATTTTTTATAATTAACTAACTCTCTTAACTTCTTTAATCTAATCAAATTAATTAAATAAGCCTTATATTAAGGATAAGAAGAGTATAAGATAACTAAGTATATACTGTATCAAAGTAAAAAAGTCGTTTACTTTACAAAGGGTGGTATTGATAGTACTTTTACCGAGTTTCACTATTTCATCAATGGCATTGACAACCTTGTTACGATTTTAACAATGAGGAAAAATCAAAGTGAATGGCATATTAAAAATAATTTACTACACTACTAAAGGCATTTATAATACTTTTACCGAATTTCACTACATTATTAATGCCATTTACACCAATATTTTTTGCAATTTCAACACTTCAAAAAAAAAAAATCAAAGTAAAGAGCCTTGCTAAAAATCATTTACTACACTACTAATGGCATTTATATCACTTTTTTCCAAGTTTCACTACTTCATCAATGCCCTTTACAATAACTTCTCTATAATTTCAGCACCTGAAAAAAAAATTAAAGTAAAGAGCCCTGTTAAAAATCACTCACTACACTACTAATAGCATTTACAAAGAACTTTATCGAGTTTCACTATTTCATTAATGCCATTTACAAAAAAATTTTTTTTTTAACAATTTCAACACTTGTGAAATAATTCATCTATGTAAATAATTAAAGTGTAAAATATAATAAATTATCACCATTTAAAATAA